CTGAAATCAAATGAGCCCTCACTTTGTGCTTTACTCAAGATCCCACTCTTCTTCTCCACCAAGTCACTTACCTGAAGCCGTTCCCTGGGTCCTTGAAATTCAGGGCTTTCACAGAGAAGTTCAGGAGAGGCCGGGACAGCTTGGTAGCCAACATGCTTTCAATTAACACGCTCTACCAACAGCAAGACTGTTCTCCCTTAGGTCTGCAATACAAGATAGCACCTCTGTTTTAGTTACTCAATTATTTTGTATGTCATGCTGACTCCATGTGTTTCAACAAGAAAATAAAGTCCAAAGGAACTCATCTTTCCCCCTTGCGGTCCCTCACACTGAGATAAACAGCTCAACCTTCAACCACCTCAAGATGCTTTTAAACAAGGAAAAAGATTATAAGTAAGCTGACAAGCAGAGAGGCATTTAAAAAAAATGTCAATTTCTCCTTCTTTAATGCATCTTTAACTGCATTCTTTGAAACAGCTGAAAATTAAGGTAGTTACATGGAATATATTATTTCAAGTGAGCTATATGATATAATTTTAAACTAAAATATAACTTCAAGTCACAGGTGATGTTATGTTACATGTTCCCAAAGCAATCCTTGGGCTTTACAGCTAGTACAGCCGTGCGGTTAAAAATACATTTCTTTGTAATTAAGTAGCTAGTGATGCTGGACTACACATAGAGAATTGCCGTTAACCTCACTATGGGGTCAAAACAGCTCAAGAACAAGAGTTAAGTACAGAAAGTTAATTTCAATGATATTCACCTCAAATAAAACCGATCCAGCACATAAAAAACATCTCTCCAGCTCAACCCGTGGCCTCCTTTATTAAAGCAGGAAAAGGGTTTCTAATTGTTAGGGCTTATTTGCCTCTCTGCCGAAGGCCGGGCTGCTGCTGCGGCAGCTTCAGGGCCTGCTGGGAAACAGGCCTCGACTAAAAACCAGTGAAATTACCACAAAAAGAGCAGGGGTGAGGCGCCAGGCTTGGAAGGGGGAGGTCTAGGCTCGGGAGGACTCGCTGGCTCCGGTAATCCTCAGAAATTCTGGGGGTTTGATCAAATTCGAGAGCTCGGTTGCTGCCCACGCATTTTTTTTGGCGAGGAATTTTGTAAGGAGGTGGCGAGGGGACGGGCCTT